TAAAAATTCCGACTTATTTTTTCACATGCATTTTTAAACCACCCTAATGTTTTTATTGTGGATTTTTTTTTATATATGTAAGTTTGTACGCTTGTTTACACAATACATTTCTAATATTAATCATCTATTCTTTTTAGAATTTAAGCAGACTTTGCGGCGGATTTGTTAGCGAAGTTGAATATTTACTTTGCAGGAAATGCTAACTTAGGTGGACAATATTTCATTTGTCCAGCAAGCGAATAAATAGCAGTTAATAAGAAATTTACGCTCAGTTAAAAAAAAAAACATCCTAGCGGAAGTCGCAGGTGCAGTGATCCTAATTAGGGTACTCAGTTCACTTGCTTTTTTGGTAAGCGGGGAGGAAGCGCGTCGAAAAGCGGCAGCAGCTGACATTACAAAGCAATAAAATTCGACTAATTTTGGTAGTCTAGTAACAAAGCAAGAAAACTGTAATTAGTAAATTTGCTGCCGTTTAAAAAGTTAATGAGTTTGCGTCCGCTGTCTACTACCTTTTTCGTACTTTTCGTAATCTGCATCTTCCACAACGGCAACTAATTTTGTAAGTTATACCGGCTATTAATTTCGCAGCGAAAATTCAAGGTCTACGAAAGCACTTAAGTTCTTAGTACTTACAAACAGATTGATTTTGATTTAGTAGTACGAAAAGAGCAGTAGGTACTTTTTAACAAAGAGGCGTTTCGAAAATAAATAGATAAGCTCTTATCAGACTTAAGCTTATCAGCTCTATTAAAACGTCAGAACTCTTCAGTTTTGTTGTCTATCATCTAGATAAGTAAACAATTGAAGTTACGATTAAAGCCGCTGTTATCAGGCGAGTGCCTGTGCATTCTTATCAGATAAAGTTTACCTTAGACGCTCGCCCACTTCAACCACTCATTGGCCGACAAAAAAAAAATTGTGTGTCTTACTCTTGCTTGACCTTTTCGTAGAATTCATGAAAATTGCCAATATTGTTAAGACGAATCAAATACTGTTCTTTGAGGCCTAAGGAGAACACGCTCCATCCATTTCAATCAGCTGTGAGTACTGGTTCCGGTGTTTCAAAAGTGGTGATTTTGACACAACCGATAAGGCGCGGAAAGGAAGGCCATTAAGGCTGTAGACGCCGAGTTGGAGGCAATTTTCACCGAAGACCAGTGCCAAATCCAAAAAGACATGCGGCGATATTAGGCGTGACTCAACAAGACCTTTAATGGTGATTGAGGGCGGTTGGTATGGTCCAGAAACACGGAAACTGGGTGACTCACGAACTCAATCCAAGATATAGCGAACGGCGTATCACTGTTTCCCAAATGCTCCTTCAGTTGTACAAAGTTATGCCGGATTTGTATTGTTCTTTCACCGGCGATGAAAAGTGGATTCATTACGATAATCAAAAGCGCCAGAAGGCGTATGTTAAGCACTCGATTCCGGAATAGCGACACCAAAGCTAAATATCCATGGCAGCAAGGTAATGCTGAGCATTCGGTGGGACAAGAAAGAAATCCTGTATTACGAGCTTCCAAAAAGTGGGTAGACGAGCGATGGGGCTCTGCACAGACAACAATTAATACGATTGAAGAAAGCGATTGCGGCAAAACGGCCGGAAAGCGCATACAGACATGAGTCACAATGGCTACCGAGGTGGCAGTGCAATACCGGGTTATTGATACAGCTAAAGATTGGCTGCCAAATCCGAAGAAACTGAACTGGAAATCATTAATGCATACCCTGAATCGGAAAGCGCCACAAACCTTTGCTCAAAAAATAGACAGCGGGATTCACGCCAGTGAACACAACTTAATCTTAGTTATTGCTAACCGGAACACTGTAGCGTTTTTCAGGCAGAGCTAAGCGCCATTGCGGATGCCGCTTGGTGGCGCACAGCTTCCACTCTTTCAGCACGCCTATCGCTATATAAACATTCTGACAGCCAAGCTGCTAATAATTCTCTAAAATCCAACAGAACAGCGTCCAAAGCAGAATGTAGAATGCATGCGTATAAAAGCTTCGTGACTATTTTATGGTTCGCTGGACACAGGAACATTCACAGCAATTGAATGGCCGACGAGTCGGATAGAAAAGGGACGGAAATATTCGCGGTCAATTCTGTTCAAGACGTGGGCATACATACCCCTAAACTCCTGAAACCACAAATTAAAGACTAAACACATCGAGGAGGTAATAGCCGTGGAAGCCACCTGCTGGACCGCCACACAAATTTGGCCCAAGGTTCACGTGAAGCGATCTAAAGCTCTCACTCGGCTTGACCGCTCCTCTCTAAGATTAATAGTCGGGGTAATAACCGGACATTGACTTATGGCGACACATGGAAAGAGACTGGGATGCCCAACCAACAATTTTTACGACGAAGAGGTGGAGAGTATCGAACACTATCTCTGCTACTGTTTCACCCTGGCCATGGCGCGCAACCATTTCTTCAAAAAGCCCGTTTTAGATTGCTTAGCTGACCTGAACTCAGCGAACATTTTCGACTTTCTGCGCAATATAAGGCGCACTCGGTGGTTCAATTTCTAAGACAAGGAATTAAATAAATGTCTTCCGCCAGTGGTAGCCCGAAGCGAAAAGCAATGCTCAGAAGCGGGCGCGGTTTCCAACACACAAACTACTTCTTTGCATACGCTTCGAATCCGGCTTTACAGCTGACAGGGAGGAATTCTGGGCGGCATCTTATGAAGCCGTACATCATGTACTACTACACAACAGTCAGCAGATCAGTCAGGTTTTTGTCTTCCAAACGACTGCAATGCCTTACAATCTGAAACTTATGCTATAGAGAAGGCAGAAGTTCTAACTGACGTCATCACAGGGCAATGTTCTATTGCACCGAAGCTTCAACGATGGCTAATACTAATAAGTTTTCTCTGCTGAAGTAGCCCCGATGAAAATAAGGAGGAAGCAATTCGTTTCTGTGTCTATGTATGTGCCTGCAGTTGAGGCGACTTCTAGGATAACGCTTCTTCAAGAGTCTTGACATAGATATCGGATGTGGTACTCTTGGATCTCCTCTGTTTCAATGGGGCTATCCGGTGGTTCAGCAGGTTATATAAATATTCTCAGTAATCATTAAGTGTTTTCATTCTAGCACATCGCTACTGATTACTTGCACGCAACTGTTTGTATACTCAGCTGGATTATGCAAATATCCTTTAAGAATGAGTTAATGACTAGTTGGCGTGAAAATTAGCAGTTACATACATTTAAGATTTCTACATGTGCTTTTTTTATGTAAATATTGTGTAAATATTTACCTATACGTACATTAGGGCGGGCCAATTTTTTTTTTTGACCATGCGCGTATAGCATAACAAACTCCAAATTGATTTTGGACCCATAGTTTCTTCGGCAAATTTGCTTAGAATTACATATAGAATCCTCCTATGCTATACGCGCATAAATCTTCCATACAAATTGACCCGCCACAACATACATACAGTGACGAACAAAAGTATTGGCACAGCGAATTTTTCGCCATATATGCAAAATTTTTTATTCTAATTTATTTTCGGTAATTTTTTACAAAAATATAGTTCATTTTACACCAGAAAACGTAATAATAAAATCTCTAAACTTTGTGCAAAACTCAGGAAAATTCTTTAAATTTGCACACTGATTTGCAACTTTTTATTCAGATTTTTTTAAAAAATTCAAAGTATGCAGTTTTATAGCCCATTCAAATTTAGTATAACAAAGTTTAAGTTTAAAGTTGCTAGAAAATCGCGTTGATTTTTGGTAATGTTTTTTCACGCAAGTTCTTCCACGCAAGTTTCCTGAGTTTTGCACAAAGTTTAGAGATTTTATTATTTTGTTTTCTGGTGTAAAATGAACAATATTTTTATAAAAAATGATCGAAAATAAATTAGAATAAAGAACTTTGCATATATTGCGAAAAATTCACTGTGCCAATACTTCTGTTCGGCACTGTATGTATTTTAACAAAAACTTTCCAGCACAACGATTTTGTGAAAACCAAACTAATTGAAAGACGAAAAATTTATTTCACTCAATGCGCTATTATCCAATTTCACAATACTCGCGTTGATTGTTGATGTTAAAAAAAAAATTGTTTTCCTCAACGTCATCAAGTTTGCTCTTGTTAATTGTTTGCTAAATTTGTGCTATATGTAGATATATGCGAAACGTATTGCACCGAATTGGGAAATGAAGTATAAAGCAAAAGGAAGGGATGATTCATTGTTAAAGCTTTAAATATGTATGTATTCGCTTAGCAGGTGATTCGAATAAGAATGACGCAATTATGCAGCTATGGATGTACTTTCAATTAAATGATTTAATGTCGTTTTTTGATTAGGGTGATTGAGTCGGTTTTTCGAACCCGGTCTCAAGCGGTTTTTTGAAATCCTGATTTTAAAAATATAGTTCATTCAATAGCAAAAATCAGCAGAATCAATTTTAGACATATAGAACTCGGGAAAATTCAAGAATTAAAAAAAATGTTCATCAAAATTTTTAAATTTTCAATTCGATTTCTTCGAAAATTTTTGAGTATGCAATTTTGTAGCAAGTTTCAAGTCTTTAAAAATTGCCGCTGATTTTTGACAATTTATTTAGTCGGGAGTGTTGCTCAATTTCTTGTATATAAAATAGATTTTATTCATGCGTTTTATGGAAGAAAATGCTTAACACCCTTGACAAAAAAAATTCTCAAAAATCAACGATAATTTTTAGAGACTTGAAACTTGCCCCTTATTAGTGGGCTACAAAACTGCAAACTCAAAATTCGCCTAAGAAATCGAATTGAAAAGTTTAAAATTGAATTGAAAATGAAAGCAAAGGCAAAGTGGAAGGTTAAAAGGACCTGTCTGCATTCGGCATGAACGGGCTTTCGCCAGTTCAGAGAGAGAAAAGTGGCAGAGTTTTTTGGTATCGGACCAAAACCGGCCAGCGGTTGTAGTGCCAAAAAACCAAATTTTATAAGCAAAAAAAAAAAAAAAGTTATCAGCAAAATTGGCACTTACCTATGTTCCAGCTTACGCTTGTAACCCTGAGCGGGTGCCTCTGTAAGTGCGCCATTCTGATGAACCATCTCTTGCTGACCAGGCACGGATAGAGTGTTGACGCTGCTAATAGCTCTGCCACCACCACCACTGTCTCCAACAGCGGCACCGCCACCACCGCCATCGCCATCGCCGCTACCATTCAAATTCCTGCTGCCATTTGCTATAGCACTTGCGCCAGCGCTACTATTTGTTGACATTGATGTTCCAATGGGATTTTGTATCTCAAAAAAGTCTTGTAATATATCTGGCATACTATTCCGTTTAATTAATAAATAACGGGCACGTTGTTTTTGTAATAGTTTTTGCAAAACGCTATTTTTAGTAACAGAACCGACAACCAATGAAGTAAACGTTTTGAAGCGACGCTGATAAGCGTTAAATGAACGATAGTTATAGTAAAGTGAGTAATTTTTTTATTAAATAAGTGTTCGTAATTGTTTTGCTTGTATGTGTGCGTGTGTTTGTTTGCGTCACTTGTAAAAAGGCTCTGACACTACAAAAAAAAAACAACAACTTGGAATGCGCCGCCGTTTGCTATTTTCACTTTACCGTGTGAATATCTAGAACCGAACCGTCTCTGTGGGTAGGTGTTGTCTAACTGGAATTACTTAGCGTTGAAACGCTCCCAATTTACGCGAAAAACACACGTTTTTACGCTTATTAAATAGCTGAGCGAAGGCAAAAAAGGTGATATAATTATGGAAAAAATTCTAGTACGTAATTGTGTTACACCTTATCAGCTGGGTAGGTCGCTTATCATTTGCTGTGTTTGTACAAAAACAAATAATAGCATGAAAGAAAACTGCGAAAAACAAAATTTATAAAGACAAGCTCAACTCACTTAGAGCACTCAGTTTCAGCTGTTGATACTCCGGCCTATACACTCACCCACCCGCCCGTTCATAAAGCTTTCGGTTGGCGCATGAAAAAGAAAATAGAAAAAAACACACACAATGGAAACACGCTTTCTGGCGATCTGCTCCTCCTCTCTCTATGTATCACTGAGAGATCGCTCACGCTCACTATAAACTTCACGATCCACGATCAGTGTTGCCAAGCAAGCATTAACTGCCGGTTTTACCAGCAATTTAAAAAGCGAGACAGACGAGCACGCTTATGCAGATAAACTAGCACATAAATGCGCATCATAATTTTGCCCTGATAGACGGCAGTAATGCGGATAAACGGGCCGCAAGGTCGTGGGTTCGAGTCCGACGGCCAGTAAAATTTTCATTTATTTAATTTTTATTAATTTTTCTACATTTTTTAATGTTGAAAACAGTTAGTTGTTGTTGACTTTTTAATAAAATTCAACTCTAAAAATTTAAATTAACTAATAGTAAAATAAAAAATGTGATATTAAATAAAGCAAATGAAAAAAAAGTAAAGTAAAATTAAATATATAAATAAAAATAAAATGAAATAAATAATAAAAATAAAAAGCAATCGCTCCAAACGACGATCGAACCTGCCAGCTGCAGGCTTGTAGTACGCAACTCTCACTACTCGGCTATCGCGGACGCCAAACTCCCTTCTTTGTTTGCTTGCTTGTACAAAAGACAACAGCTGGCCGTTTTTACCAGTGCTGTCAACGAAAATTCCCCTGATCCGAGTTAATTCCCCAAAAATTTCGTGCATTTGCTCGGCTGCTTATGCGCATTTGCAAGAGGAAAATGCTTGAGTTAATGCAACTAAAGGCTGTTTATGCAAATAAGCGAGCCCGTTTGTCACCCGAATAAGTGAAAAATGATCTTTCGCCTTCTGTCAGTTTTCATATTAAATTCAACTAAAAAAATGACTTTTCTTAAATTACTTTCGTGAAACTGGCTATAAATTATCAAAAATCTGAAAACTAAAAAAATTAAGAAAACATTTTTTTTTTGAGGATTTAAATTTACAAAAAAACCTCTGACGGGAGACTCATTTTCAATGTATTTTCATTTGAGATACTGCGTTTTTTGAACCGAATTCTGAGGTAAGGCACTCTTCAACCAAATTCCGAAGTAGGGTGTTCTTAAAAAGTTTTCTCATATAGGGCGTTTTCGAACTGGCTGCCGAGATAGGGGTTTCGATAAGAGGTTACATTAAATGGATGTTTCTAGATAGAAAATATTCCAGTCTCAATTAGTTTTAAATGAATAAAATTCTTCCGACTTTTTTTGCTTCTATTTTGCATAGAACTGCCAATTTCGTACAAAGTTATAATTAATTTTTCTTCACGAATATCACGCGAATTTTTAGTCGGTTGAAACGTATAGAGCTGCATACTCAAAAACTTTGTAAAAATTCAGATTAAAAAGCTCGAAATTTTGTTGAATTTTTCTAGATTTTGTATAAAGTTTGAAGCTTTGATTTACATATAAGGTTTTGCCTAAACCTTGTTTAAGATTTTTATAGAAAAATACCTTGAAAGGTATTGTCATTATTTAAAAAAAAAAATCCACACGTGAACACTTGTTTGAGTCACTGTATATCCAAAAGAATAACGCTTAAAGTCGTGGTTTCTATTTGTTACCAGTTTTCGTTTTATTTTGATTAAACTGATGTTAAAACCACATATTTGGAAAATCTGCAAGCGCTGCCGAAAGTCTCTATAGTGAAGGTTTTTTATATGAAATTTTGGTTGAATTTTAATATCTACAATTTAAGATTTTAACGAGTTTTTTTTTAAAGATAAGATTTTTGAAGATAAATCTGTACTTCTGGCAACACTGTCCACGATAAGCGCGCTCACTGAGATTACTTTGCTTATTATGACTCTCTAGCTAACACGCTCAGTATTTCATAAAACAAAATTTATGCGTTGTTATTTCTGGACTTGTTCACGTTGCAACTTTTTATTTTCAGTGCAATTCTCTGTTGTTGTTATGAAATTTCTTTTGGTGCAATCTTTTGAGGAGCCATAATTTGTATCCCAAAACACTTTTCATGTGTAAATTAATGTTTTGAATGAGTTATCATTCGGGACATTTTGGGGGATAAGAAATAGTGGATATTTTTGCGACAGAATTCGGCACTGATAAGTTGTTCAATGCCTGCGCTGTTTTGATTTGTAATTAAAATTTTTTTCCACAAAATTTTTTTTTTGAATATTATTTCTGTTTATGTTTCGTTTGTTAGTCTACTCTATTATTATGCGCATCAGCGGTTCACTTTGTTCGCTGCTTTTTTCGATTTCTGATTTTGTTTGTCCATCATAAACATGCCAAAGCAACTAAAAAAAAATATATATATGCATATCAACGTCTAAGTAGCAGCTACACAGAACGTAGTATACCTAAGTAGGTACCTATATGTGTATATTTTTTTTATATTTCTTGTGAGCGACAAACACGCAGAATGGATGTGTAAACAAAAGCTTTGTTTCCGCTGGCGGTTTTAGGCAGAAAAATAATTTGAATTCTTTTATGTATTTAAAATTTTTACGAATTATCAAAAAAGCTCGATTTTTCTTGTTTTTATTTTGCACATTGTTGTTCCGATTTGTATACCTATTTATTTTATTAATTTGTTTTTCCGAAACTACAACCTACGCGCCGCTGCAATCAATAAATTAACGAAACTTGATTTTTCCGTTTGTAAAAGAAAGAAATAAAAAAAGCGACCACGTAAAAATGCATGTACTTTTCCATACGAGGTTTGCCATTCAACTGATCGTAGCTCACCAGCAGCGCATTAGCTCGATATACATACGCGCACTTCCTCATGTAGGCAAATGAAAAAAAGTAAAGAAAAAAAAACATAAAAATAATAAGAATACACAACGAAAAGCGGCTATCTAAAAGATCGTTCAACAACCATTGTATAGATACTAAAGCAGCGTGCAAAAATGGGTGAGCGCATATTTACATACTCGTATGACTCGCTTATTGCAGAGAATCTGCTGGAAACAGTGTTGCCATTTTAGCCGTTTTCCGGCTAGATTTAGCCGGTTGCGATAGCAAACAGCCGGAGAAATTTCGATTTAGCCGGCAGCCGATTTGTTAGCCGTTTTGCAGAAAAAAATTAGCCGTTTTTAGCCGATGTTGCTATTTGCCTTGTTTTCTTAAATTTCAAATATGTATATATGTTTCCATTTTTGACTAAGCGAGTCAAAATCTGTTAGAGATGGCCACTACCCTTATCGTGGAGAAAATTTTCATGTCAGGCAGGCTTGTACGAAATTGGGCCGATTTCGCTTATTTTTATTTTAAACGAAGAAGGGATTTTCTTCATAAAATGTGTCTTATAAATGTCTTAATTTTAAGTGTGAAGTTTTATTCGCAAACTTAGAAAATAAGAAATTGTTTCACTGTTAAGACACTTAAGATGCGTTTGTGTTTGGATATAGTGCCAACAAACAGAATAAATATTACATGTAGATATTGTGTTCCCAGATAGCCAATTCTGCCTAAATTAAAAAACATCATTTTTGCCCACTCCCAAAGGAAAAAATTGATATTTTCAAGCACTATGTACACATATGTATTTTTTTTAAACGAAGTTTTTTGCTGAGAATTTATTTAAATTCCAAAAACCGAATGCCAACTTGAATTAAAGGAACCAACACTGAAGTGAATCAAAATGAAAATAAAAGAGCACAAATTTATATGTAAAGCAAAACTCTCTGGGAATCCTACGAGACATCTGCCGGTCATATGACCGGTCATAAAAATGGAAGATCTGCAGTCTTTTGGCATCATATTTTACATCAGAATTGAAGGGATTTCTGAAAAATCTGACCAGTACTTTTGTGTAACTGTGATTTTGCATCCCTTGTCAACATATGGCCTCGGTTGATGTTAACTTAAGGTCGTTGGTTTACTGCCTTAAAATTGAAGGGAAAATTTTACATCGTTTTTTGTGTGTATTGGTTTCTATTTGAGTATATTGAGAATCGGTCAGTCTGAAAAGGCCTTGTAGGGAAGACAATAGGTTTGTTCGTCGAAAATCCAGCGAGAATTATCACTCAAAATATCAGATAGTAAGAAAAAATGCTCCCAAATTCTCTCTCATGTAGAGAAACTTGTAATTTTCTGTAGGAACGCAAATTTGCAAGTTTTTTTGCCAGCTAGTGTCCACGGTTGCATTTCAAACAAAAGAAATGTGTATAGATTTTTAAAATTCTTTCAGAGGGGCGAAAAACAGGATCTACGTGTATATATCTTGTCAGTCCGACTTTCTTCAACATACGTTTCAATTTCTTTGTCGGGTTCACTATATCGACTCTGGTTGAGATTGCATTCCGTTTAAGAATACATTTTTTTTGCCGAATACCTTTCAAATCATTGGAATTAACTAAATAATTAAGTGAACAATAATTATCTTACATTTTTCATTTTAAAATTGCTCCAGTTTGTAAATTTTTAAATTTAACGAACTTGTTTATTCAAATTATCGTCGACAAAAAATTCAACCATGTGCCACAATCAAATGTTTTTCCTAATTGCAAATTCTTGCTGGCAAAATTTTTTCCGGCTCGAATTTGTAACTTCTCTCCAAGAAATGGTCTTAGTCATGTGAAATTTAGTTGAAACATTTTAGCCGTTTTTAGCCGGTTTTATTTGCCAATTTAGCCGGTTCGTCCAAAAGGTTCTGGCAACACTGGCTGGAAAAGAGCAGCTAGGGTTGCCAACACTGTCTCAATTTCCCGTATAGTATTTTTAAATGTGACACCACGAATGTAAAGAATAGGGTGATAAAAGGTGGTGATTCAGATATTTAACAGCAATTATTTGTGATATGCTTAATGTTTTATTTTATTTATTTTTCAGACAATTGGTACTACCAACAGGCTTTGGCAAACTTAGTCATGGAGCAAAACTCAGTTGAATAGTGCGTAGAAGTGATTCAAACGTTGATGCTTATGTAAAACAAAAATCACCATGAGCGATGACTCAAGATTTTAACGTAAACGTAAAGAAAAGAAAAAATAAATAACAGTTTCAAAGCTTGCAAAAAGTTCACAAAAATTAATCTAACTTAAAAAAAAAAAGAATAGAAGAAAACGTGCTACAGGGAGATGTTCTTTCTTCTCTACTCTGGTCTCTCGTCGTGGATGACCTCTTAACCAAGCTATAGGAAAGTGGTTACGATGCTGTTGGTTATGCGGACGACCTGGTAATTATTGTCATGGAAAAATTCGGCGGTATTGTATCAGAGGTTATCCGTGCAGCTCTGCGCGTGGTATCAAACCGGTGTACCAATGAGGGCCTCCGCATAAACCCGCAAATGGCGGTTCTGGTACCGTTTATAAGAAGGTGCAAGCCGTGGGTGAAATAGTGTTTGAATACTCTATCGAAGTCAAATATCTCGGGGTTACCATGGATTAGATTGGTTTAACATGGGATCTAAACTCCAAACTAATATAATGGCTTTACAGAACCATATTCCGTGCGATTTTAACTTATGCCTTCATAGTCTGGTGGCCAAAAACACTGCAAAAAACTGCCGTTTCGCGTCTAAACTCTAAAGGATGGCTCTACTGTCGGTGACAGAAGCAATGAGAACGTGTTGAACCTGGACCCCACAGCACATTTTTGTCCAAGCAGCAGCAGCTTCGAGGAATTTACAAATGCAAAATTCCGACAGAACTCTTAAAAACAAGACACAACACAAAGGTATTTTGAAAAAATACCAGGCCTAGGAATCTGCGAGTAGCCGACGCTATGCCACAGGAAATCTGGAGGTATTTCTGCGACAATGTGAGATAGGGCTTTTCTTTATTAAGGTAACGATATATGCATACATACTTACATACATATGCATGTGATATTATTGTCAAATACTTATTTTTGCCTTAATTTTGCAACTATTAACCAAATCCCCACAAAGCTAAAATTCCATTGGAGTGAAGCAATTTTCACGTAGTTGGCATCCCTGAGAGCACTGCAAGCCAGCACGTCGATTGTGGACTGCAACGCCTGAAAAGGTGTTGATGATAGTGGCACCTTAAAAGCCTGATTATGGCAACTTAACTTGACTTGACGGAACTTAGAATTTTGAAAATCAAAGTTAAACAGATTTAGACGTGGCATTAAGTTACATTAAGTTTCGACTGTGCAATTATAAATTATTATGTTTTGGCCAACCTTATAGCTAAATACAAACTACTTAGTTTTCAACAAAAAATCTTATTCAATAGTAAATTTCATATTTTAAACGTATTTTGAATAGGAATTTATAATTTTTTTAACATCTGAAAAACTGACGAAGTGGCAACCATCTATAGAAGGAAGAAATCAGCCGACACGGAAAAATCTAAATTCCGCAAAATTCTAATTCTAACTGCGCTGCGGGTTACAACTACAGAAAAATTCTGCGGCGTTGAGTTTTCATTTACATGGCGCTCTGATAAGACAGATCGTGTCAGCTGACTCGGGTTTACGCACCGGTAGGTTTACTATTTATTTTTATTATTTTAGGCGGCAAACTGTCAAATAGCTGAAAAAGAAAAGAAAAAAAAGAATCCGCTTCTGGACGTGTTGAGTAATCGTTGATGATTTCGTACGGCAAGTTAAATTAAGTCTAGACTAACTGAGCTTTAAGCAACATCCATTTAAGAGAATTTTTAAGTGAGAGTCTGTAATTTACGTTAAGTTGCCATAATCAGACCATAACTCTTTAGCTGCGACCAAACTACATCACGAGCTGGGTTGCCAACTATACGTAGCTTGGAAGTGCCATATTGAGGATGAAAAAAGGCCAAAATGTGCCAAATAGAAAAATAAGGGGTAAAATAGCCAGTTGTATACACTATAGAAAAAAAAAAAAAAATTGTTGAGCAAAAGAAGTACACGCAAATTTTATTAAAATATTACCTTTTTTCGAAAGTGCCAAATTGAAAAATTAAAAGCCATTTGAAGTAAAATTGGGCCGAAAATGGCACGGTTTGAGCCAAGTCGGTAGCCCTGGTCACGAGTCTTGAGAGCCACAAAGTCTGTGGTGTTTCTGTTACTCATGGTACAATAAAAACAGGTAGAAGCCAAATTGACATTAAACCTACAAAAGTCAAAGTTTTCGGGAGAGTAAAAATAAAAATGAGCGTGTGTAAGGAAAAATAAAAAATTCCATTTCACTGGTTGACGTTTTTAAGTAAATTTGAAGTTTAATTGTATTTATTTATTTTCTTTAGTTAAAATTTGTTAATTTGTTTGTTGTTTTCTGTCTTTGATTTATGAGTTGCAGTGTTGTTGGAGGGACTTTCCGGCATAAGGGTCATAGGAACAGCACTTGGCATCAAACGTGCCTTTTGTACCTCCCGGTGCATTTATGAAATCTGCTGCTTTAAAATGTTTAACGCACAGCAAGGTATTTCGCTGCAGCTCTACCCCACAGCTGCTTTCCCAACGCTTCTTACGCTAAGGACATTGAGGCACGTTAAAAAATTAGTGGCCTCTGATTTATATTTAACACCACATAAAAACAAGGCTTCAGGTGCTGCATTTTTAACACATGCACTAAGTATAAGCCGCACAACACTACAAAAATTCAAATGTTAATTAAAATTTGTTTTTAACGAATATTAAAAAAAAAACAAAAATCAAACGACATGACATTTAAAGCGTAACGAAATATAGGAAATAAAAGAAAACCAAGTTGAAGTTTAAAGGTTTGGTTCTCATGAGAGCAATGTCATTTTGGCTTCTACCTGTATTTATGTGCCTTGTCTGTTACTATTGGCTTTCTTCTACGCCTGCTGATGGTTTGGGGTGGAAGGTTTACTTACGCCAATGAAGCTAAAAGTTGTAAGTTTGTGTACGTATGTATACATAGTATGTACAGATGTACATACATAAATAGGTATGCAAACATACATG